AAACAAAAAAAAGAGTCTCTCACATGGTTCAAATATTTTCCTGGAAAGAAGGACAGGTACAACAATTAAGATACTGAGTTAGGTCCGAGGCACAGGATCCATCACCTCATTAGCCACTCGGAAGCTTGCGTGAAGTTGCTGGAGAGAGCCACGAGGAGGTCTGCGGACCCTGAACACGCCCGGCGAGCAGCCTGCTCTGCATTCACAGCCAGCTCCAGGTTCAGCACACACTGTCTAAAGCCTGGCCACCACCCTGCACGCTGTAGCTCCGCCACTCATCCACTGTGGACCCCGGACCAGCTGCACGGCCCTGCTGGGCTTCACGTTCCTCACCTACAAATCCGGAACGATGGTAGCACCTCCCTCAGCAACTGGTCATGAAGACGGAAGAGGTAACTGACAAAAAGTGCTCTGAACAGGGTGCGGCTCAAGGTAGTTGCTAGGTGGACACGAACCTTTGCCACTGCTGTCTCGCCCAGGACGGACCGTGCCTACAGTGGCTCCTGGTGACCCCGACTCTCCAGTTCCTGCGTGCGTGTGTAGTTCCTCCTGTGTGTGGGGCCGGACCCGCTTCTACCATGGAACACAGCAAAGCAACAGAGCTCTCCTGTTGCCACCAGGCTCTAGGAAGCAAGAGCTCAGGCTGAGCGGGGCCCCTGAGCACGTGGGTCCTGCCTGTGACTGCCAAGAGAGTTGAAAGTGGATTCTTTCCCATCGTGCCGCCTTATGAGCTCCCAGCCGGAGTGGACACAATGACATAGGGATAAGGTCCCAAGGCAGAAGGCCCGGCTCGGCCAGGCCCTGACTCGGCCAGGCCCTAACTCCTGACCATAGAAACTGAAAGATCACAGGGGTGAGTGCTAGTTTAAATTGCTAAGTATTGCAGATCTCTAACGCACACAGCGACAGATAACAATACCAGCTAGCTAGAAGGAATAAAAAGGAAAATGAGCAACAACAACAAAAATCACTGAGAAAAAAAATTACACGTGTATCTCACAATCCAGATTTTAGGAATTCTACCCTGAACTCAATAAATGAAAGCAGCTCTTTATTACAAAACTTGACCCCTTCTAAAACAAAATCTCGCCGGGCATGGTGGCACACGCCTGTAATCCCAGCACTCGGGAGGCTGAGGCAGAAGGATCCTTGCAAGTTCAAGACCAGCCTGGGCTACAAAGTGAGCTCAAGGCCCTGCTGAACTGCATAGTGAGACCCTGTCTCAAAAAGACCAAAACCAAAGCAAAACAAGTTATTCATAGTAACTTCCCCCAAGAGAGGAAGGCACATGCACCCACTCAACAACTTTTGGAGCACACACTTACTCCACGCCAGGCACCTTTCCAGTCTCGGTGGGGAGCAGCAAGTCAGACTCCCAGCCTCTGTCGGAGCCAAGGTTCCTGTGTCATTATCGTCACTGAGGGGTGTGCTGAGGGGAATCAGCACCTCTCCCCAGAGAACGCTCACAATGCCAAGGAGAACCGCAGCATTTTACTTTCCTAATCTCAGCAACGACCCTAGAGGCACCTGATAAATCGAGAGAGCCAGAACAAGGCCATGCTGAGTGCCTGGGAAACGACAAACTGTGGGCAATTTGCCCACCATGCCACGGACAAAGACTGTGCCCCTAAGATGGGCGACTTGAGGGAGGGGATCCCTGAGCTCCCCAGTCTATCTTCGTTCCAGCAATAACCAAGGTGTAGGCCCCTTGCTTTGTCAATCCCATGAGACCCTGAAGTACAAACCACACCACCTCGGTCAGCCGTTTGTTTCAGCACTTTAAGGAAAATCTGTCCTTAATGAGCAATTTGAATTATGAAGAGTAATTGCGATCCTATTTTGCATTTTATGGGACTGGGGATATAGCTCAGCGGCACAGCACCTTAGCCTAGCAAGCTCAAGGTCCTGAGTTCGATTCCCAGTACCAAAAAAAAAGACTGTAAGTCAAAGGCAGGTATAGAAATGTTTTGCATTTTATAGACTGACTGTAGAATCTATACCCTCTTGGAATAAGAATCGTTCTATTGTTATTTTTCTATTAAAAACCAGCTTGAGACCCAAATGTGAGAACCCAGCAGTCACTCTTTAAAAACAGGGTCTTCTCCCCCAAACACTCCCACAACCTGCCAGTTAGAACCCCATGGGCTCCCATCAGGAAGGCAGGTCTCCAACAGCCTGCCGGCCGCTGGCCACTCACTTTGCTAGTGTACTTGGCGATGTCTGCAGCAACATCAGCGGAGGCCGTGGCGATAGGCAAGTCGGCGCTGATCGAAGATGCAAGGGTGCTGCTGGCTCCGGTGCTGCTGATCAGGGGTGACGGCTGTGTGCTGGTCACCAGGGTGATGGTGGATGTGGATGGGCTCTGTGTGACCTCTTTCTGCTGGACAGCTAGGAAGACAAAGGGTCCTGGTTACCCCGGCAGAGCAGGATGGGAAGCAGGGTAGTAGGGTAGAGGGGAGAACCCTCACACATGCTGAGTGAACTTTCCTACTTCCAAGGCACAAAGATTCTCACCTTGCCCCAGCTCTTAGCCAAACTCCTGGGAGCCCTGTTCTCCACTGGGCCCAATCTTGAACTACAAAGATGTGAACAAACGCGTATTCCAGACTTCAAAGTCACACGATAAGATGGCCCAGGCCCCCTTAAAGTTCTTCCTGAGAAAGCTCCAGGCTGCCAACACTGGAAGATGGGGACCCTGTCCCCCAGGACCTATGGGGAGGCAGAAGCCTACCCATTAAGTGCCCGTTCGCAAACCCTACAAGTTGCACCTACACCAACCCCTTCTGCTTTCTGTGATACCTGACTTCCCGCCTCTCCTATGCCCCTACTCAGAACCACTCTCACTTCCTCGTTCCACCTTAAAATCTCCATCATCAGAGGACCAGATGTCAGCTCTGTGGAAGAGCGAGTGTTCAGCACATACAGAGCCCTGAGTTCAATCTCCAGCATCGAAATAAAAAACAAAGAAAAATCATAGTTACAATCAGCCCGGACAACTTAACAACTTAGCAAGACTCTGTCTCCAAAAAAAAAAAAAACCCAAAAACTTTAAAGGGCTGGGGATGCCGTTCAGCGAGAAGGCCCTGCTCTCCCAGCAGAGCAGAAAAGGAAAAAAGAAAGTTCTATTTATCACCTCTGCACAAATCAGAGCAAGCGGAGTTCAGGCGCGAGTCCTCCTTCACACTGTAACACACTACTGATTCAAACCTCCCCTCACCACCAACTAGTGGTGTGACTGCACTACGGATCCAAATCCGTGCTTACCACCTTAGCTACTGGTACAACAGTTTATGGCTGATTCAGATCTGCCCTTACCTCTCTAACTAGGCTTCACTTTGACACAGGCAATCTAGAACCTGAGGACCTTATAGCCCACCGCACCCTTCTGATACCACCCGAGCCCTCATGGGAAGGCGCACAGGCTCATGGGATACGAGGACAGACCGTGGAGTATGGGCCTAACCTCCACTGCCTCAGCTTCTGCTCCGCCCCACTGACTTTAAACAGCAGGATCAACCCGGCTGTCCTCCAAGCTGACCTACTCCATTTCTCATTCTTCTTTGCGCCCCACCCCTTATCCCTGAAGAGTTTCACTGGGAGCTGATTCAAGATCTTGCTACCTTCAACCTCACATCCTGCGGCTGCCTAGGACCCAACTCACTATAGCAGTTTCGATCCAGGAGCCCCAGTACCAGGCACCGAGATGCAGGTTTCCCTGAGCAGTGACACCTGCAGGTCTCACAGACCTGGGCAGGCCCACACCCTGATTGGATCGGCTCTTTGTCTGCCCTTCCAGAGCATCCTGCATCACTGCTGGGAGTTTGATTTTGCAATTTCCACACAAGTGGCTCTTGATGTGGACTTATTCTGTGCATGTGGCAAATCCCTGGCTTCCAGGCAACTTTGCTATCAACTTTTCACACCATACTATTTCCAAAGTATAGAGACTCGTTCCCATGCATAAGGAAACTTACACAGTATATTCATTGCAGCACTCTTTAAGATAGGAAAAAACCTACAGGCCAGCTCCATGCCCACCGGTAGGAGAATGCTCTGAACACACTATGGAATACTATGCAGCAGTCCAAAAGAACAAGGTACTGACACAGACAGACCTCCAAAACATGCTGATGGGTGAAAAAAGAAAGCATGGTACCATTTTTAAGTTTTAAAAAAGGAAAAATAAGGTCGTACTGACGGTGTCACGCACACACATATATAAAAATATACATGCATAGGAAGGGGTTGGACAACAGTTGGCTGAGGTTGCTGAGGAAAGAGAATGAAATGGAGGTGAGGGGGACAGTGTTCAAGTTTTTATACACGTTCTGTCCCCTAAGAAGTATAATATGCATGTATCGTTCATAAAATGAAAAAGAAAAAAATTTAAAGTTAAAAGGCAAGGTACAAAGCAATTTTTCTGAAATAATGCCGAATGGAATGTAAAAGGCCTTCAGGATACAACGGCCAGGACACAAATGGGAACCAAAAAAAAAAAAAATTAAAAAATTAAAAAATAAAACAGCAATGGTTTTTCTCCTGTCCATGTGGCAAAAGGGGGGCGGGCGCCACGGCGAGCAGGGGTCTCGGTACCTTTCACGGCCTGTCTGGTCTGATATCTCGTCCCCTGGGAAGACTGAGGCTGCTGCTGCTGGCTGTGCTGCTGCTGCTGCTGGCGCTGGATCTTCTGCATGTGCCACTTTTGGGAGGACGTTTGAAACTTACTTGATGAGTTCCACACGACCCGCTGCACAGCCGGGGCGGTCTCCTTCGGTAAAAGCGGCCTCTGCTTTTTCACCGGGCTCCCCGTGGCAGCGGTGGCCGGCGCCGTGACCGTGACGGTGGACGTCGCGCTGGTGGTGGCTGGGACGCCGGCTGCAGGGGTTTGGGCGGCAGAGCGAGTGAGCACCGGCGTTTCGGGGGGAGACTGGCTGCCTGCTGCCGTGGTGGACGGTGTCGCTTTACCTACAACTACAGCCAGAGTGTGAAAACAAAGAAAAACTGGGTTGGACTCAGCTTCTGCTGCGGGGACTCTCCGCTGCCGAGGGCTGGGTAAAATCAACCAAGGCCGGGGAAGTCTGAGGATTCAGCAAGCTGTACTCGCTCACCCCAGTGGAGCTCACATCATTACCCAGGGCGCGGGCTGCTTATCTGAGACCCTCGCCAAGGTTCTTGGGGGGGATGAGGTGACCAAGACCCAGCCCTGCCTTCTAGGTAGCCACAAACTAGCTGAGGAGGCAGCGGGTGAACGAACCCCCGTGGCCCGCTTTCCCCTAGAATGTGGTAAGCAGCTCAAGAAAGCCCAGCTAAGCCGGCTGTGATGGTGCACACCTGTAATCCCAGCACTGGGGAGGCTGAGGCAGGAGGATCATTGTGAGTTCCAGACCAGCCTAGGCTACAAAGTGAGCTGAAGGCCAGCCTGAACTGCGTTAACAACAAGACCCTGTCTCATAAAGACAAAAAAGAAAGAAAGGCCAGCTGGAGTTGATCCAGAGATGAGATAGAAACCCTTCAGCGAATGTTAGGGAGTCTACGGGCTCATATCCTACAGAACCAGGTGGCTCCCCAACCTTCAAGGAGAGAATCATCGCCTCCTCTACATCCCTCCAGGACGCGTCTCGGGGTGGTGCTGATGGCCTCACACCTAACACCAAAAGGAACCTGCGCTGCGCCCAGGACCTTCTCCAAACACAAATGCATTTGAAACTCGAGCAGCACAGCCCCAGCCTGCACTGATCTCTTCCAGCCACTTCTATGTGTACAGTGCACCACACTGGTTTTCCTGCTGGGTAGAAGTCAAGTTTGAGCCTAAAATGAATTTAATTTTAATTGAGTTTCCTTAACTAAAAATACTAAGTCAATAATTATCCCAGTAGGACGTGAGGGTGGCAAGCCCAGCAGATGCGAAGGACTCAATCAAGCCTGATGCTGCTGCTCTGTGGATTAGGGGGACCGAGGGGGACTGAGGGCTAGGACTTCAACAGGCAGAAAGGAGACTGCGCCAAGAGGTCCAGGAACGGGGTGCCTTGCGCTGGAGCAGGGGCTGAAGGCAGGCGGGAGCCGGAAGCACCGAGCGATGCCGAAGGGGCGTCCACGAGGGTGCTCACTTAGGACAGGGTTTGGTTACGGCTGCAGAGGCCGCAGCTGCAGGTCAGGTGAGTACCCCACCTCCACCTTGCCCAGGCCACCAACCAGACCATGCTCAACAGCCAGGTCCTTCTATGAAGGGTATGCCTGATGTTTTTGAGATTTCCATTATCCAGAAAAGACGTGAGTGTGATTGCTCCAAGGAGGGTCCTCGTGAGCCGTGCATGTGAGGATGTGAAGGGGGATGAGACAGCTGCCCACTGACCCCGCGGTTTGCGTCTGCACAGCCCTCCTGCTCCGCGGCAGGGACAGCATGGCCAAGCTGGTAGCCCAGACGCCAGTGGGGCTGAAAGAAGGGTTCTTCCTGTCCTGAGCACCTCTGGGCCTTCCCAGGGCGCTGCAGGGACTACACACAGCCCTGCGGGCTCCGGAGACAGTGAGAGGTGGAACAGCGTCCCTCTACAAGACGAGCAGAGGCACAGTGTCCAGCAGGGGTTCTAACCAGCAGGATCACCTCTAATGCCTCCCTTTTCTGCCACTGAGGGGAAAAAGCTATACTATTAGTGCTGTTTAGCTAGCCTGGCCCCCCTTGGGCAAAGGACAGCCACAAAAAGGCCACAACAGCAAACAACCAGCGGTGCAGAGGAGACTTACTCTGCACTGCCCGTGCCGACTGGCTGGCTGGCTCTTTTCCTAAAAGGGGATAGAGAGGGGGATGGCTGGAATCTGAAAAGATTCCAGGCTTGAAGGACTGGTGGGGTAGAGTTATCATTTAGATACTAAAATGCTACAATTTATAGGACATTCTGATGCCTTATAAAGGGGACAATGAAAGAAGCTACAGGAAATTTTGTCCTAGAAATTTACCATATATAATCAAATCATGTACAACCTCCCCAAAGTACGAACTCCTTAAAGGGTCAGCACCCCAGAACCTGCCCGATCAAATTATTCTAGAATGTGTCACTGGTTTTACATATAAAGGGAAAATGTTTAGTGGGTGTGGTACTGCATGCCTGGCCTGTAATCCCCAGCACTCAGGAGGCTGAGGCAGGAGGATCGCTGCAAGTTCAACTCCAGCCTGAGCTACAAGGTGAGTTCAAAGCCAACCTGAATTGTATAGTGAAATCCGATTTTTAAAAAGATAAAAAAGGGAAAACTTTAAAATGGTACTAGGGATTGAATTTAGGGCTTTCACAAAGAGTTACAAACCTTTTATTCTGTGTTTTGAGACAAGGTCTCCCTAATTTTCAAACTTCCTCTCCTTCTACCTCAGTCTCCTAGAGTGCTAGGATCACAGATGTACACAACCGTGCCTGGCCGAGGGAGGACTTTTTGAGAGAAGAATTATCACCCCCTTGGGGAGGGATGGAAATGCCCGCCTCGATGAGGAAAGACAGGCAGAATCAGTAAGGCAACTCCTGTCACCCAGGCCCGAGCTCACCAGCTGTAAAAGCTGCTCAGGAGGAGCGAAGGAGAGGTCTCTGAGTGCGGCAGAGAGGAAGAAAAGATCCAGGGGAGCACAGCAGCAGGCGTCAGGCCTCTCTGAGCCCTCTCCAAGGATCCGGAGTGTCCCCACCTGACGCACTTGGAGCGGAGTATTAGCCGGGAGTTAACACAGCTCACTCCAAAATGTGCTTCACTTAATCAACTCCAAAGGTAAAGTGCACGGTGCTAAGATGCTCGACCGCAGAGTCTGAGACAGCCCCTTCTGCAGGACCCACTTAAATCACCTCGAGAGCTCTGGATTTCAGACCAGCTGGGTTTGCCCCAAGCCCCGGGAAGCTGCTCTGTGAACTGTGTTCTAGAAACATCACCCACCATCTACTACGACTCCCGGAGAAGGTTCCTTGAAGCATCATTCGAGGACAACCTCTACTTCTTTTAATCTGAATCAACTGGAATGCTTTTGAATTTCTGGAAAGTGAGAGATCTTTTTAAAATTGTTTCCCTTTGGACTTCCACTTCTAGGAAGCTCAGGGCTTCACTAACTCTGAAAATTGGAAACAGACCTGCTTTTGTATAAAACCTTTCCCTAGACCACTCACTAGTCCACCTTTATTTCTGCTTTTCCACCAAGTTCTTTGTTTTCATTCTGTTTCATGGTGATGTGTCCTTGTCAATCTACTGCAAATTCTTCCTAGCAGAGGAAGGGGCATAAAACCGATCGCTCAAAAGCTCTGTTCCAGAAAGAATGGAAGAGACAAACACAAGAACGCTGTCACACAAGCATTCCTACAGGCCTCGTGGAGTGAGTGCTACTCCTACCGGGCCTGAGGTACTGCCTGTAACGTCACTCCGCCATGAACTGGGGATGGCTCAGGGAGGCCCGATGCCCACCTCTCTGCCCCACTCACTTCTTCTCTCCCGGCCTGCACCTCCCAGAGACCTCTCCTCCTCTCTTCCTGAGCTGCAGGAATCCCGTCTCCCCTAACAACAGAGGTTCCAGAACAACCCCGCTGCACACACACCCCAGCTAGGGGCTGAGTGTACATCAAGGGCTTGTTTTAAGCTGCCAGTGGTGCTGGGAGAAAATTCCCAAGGACACAGACTTACACATCCCTGGAGGTTTGGGTGAGAGGTTACCTCCTGTTAGAAGAAAGGTACAGTCAGAAACAAAGCCTCGCTGCGCCTTGAGCTCCCCACAAAGCGACCTCTACCTTGCCCAGAGGCAATGTTTCTCCCGGGTCGTTCTGAAGGCTTTTACATCCTCCCCAGGCCTGTCAGAGCCCCTCACCACCCACCCGCCAAGCCAACTGGAAAAGTGTGCTGACGACCTTGGCAGGGAAAGGACACGCTCCCTCCCACCGTGCACTCGCTCCTGCCGGAGGAACTGGCAGGGCTTTAGACAGCACTGCTGCTTCACGGCAGAAGAGCAGCAGCAGGAGGTGCCTGAGATGCAGGCAGTGGGTCTCCACCCAGGTGATCTGGCCTTCGGGGGACATCTGTCAACGAACAGGTATTTTAACAGGTGAGTACTACTGCCACCTAGTGGGTAGAGGCCAGCGATGCTCGTAAGCATCCTCCAGAGAATTTCGCAGGGCAAACCAGGTGGTGGAAGGTTGAGGAACCCTGGGGTCAGATGCATGAAAGCCAAATCCACCATGCAACACCCCTCCCGTTCCCAGGGCTCCAAGCTGCTCTGGGGCATTCTGGTGTCACCTACCCAAATGCTTCCATGTTGTGCCAAGAAAATATACCTACCAACGCCTGGGCAGCACAAGAGGGAGCAGCTGCGGAGCAGCTGCACCCATGAAGACCTTTGCAATGAATGCTTCCCACCACCTGAGCACAGGCAAATGCCTCAAAGTTCACATTTTAGCCAAATGAACGAGCGTATCGGTGAAGCAGAGGCTCAAGCAAACTTGACTTGGCTAGCAGCAACAAACATGTTCGGAAAGACTTATTAGCTGGTTGTGTTGGAGCTAGCAGGTAAAAGACAGGCCTGTGTGTAAGCAGGTCCATAGTCAGCCGGGGACCTCAACCTGATCACAGCTTTGCTGTACCTCCTCAGTCGTGCTGGGGGTCCTGTCGCTTCTGATACCACAAACACAAGCGGGGACTTGAGCCCAAGTGGAAAAATGGGAACACACTGTAAGGACTTACCGTCCTGCTTGGGAGATGGCTCTTTGGGTTCCTTCTTATTTTTTCGACCCTCCCGCCCAGAATGGTCTTCTCCTAAATCTATGACAAGTTCGCTCTCTGAATCGGAGTCCAGGCCCAAATGTACTGTTGGGGAATCCATCTCGTCTTTGCCTTTCAGCTTATCCTTCGTGGGATGAGGTGATGGCTTCGCTTTCTCTGCAAAGTCCTTCTCGGGCTCAGGGCTGGCCTTGTCCTTGACTGGCCCTGGGTCTGCCTTCTCGCTGACTGGCGAAGTGCTTTTCAGCTCCTCTTTGACCTCAACTGGGTTTGCAGGCTTGGGCTTTTTTTTGACAGCGGATGGCTCTTTGTCCATCCGATTACCCTCTTTGTCCTCTGGGTCTTCCGGTTCGTTCTTGGTTTTCTGCTCATCGTCACTGATATACTCACTATCGCTACTATCTGACTTCTCGGAATCCTCTGAATCGCTGTGCTCTACGGCCGTATAGACATCTTCCGAGATTTCATCGATGCCTAAATTCAAAGAGAAAACCCAGCATGTGGCGCAGTCACAAAATAAACAGCAAGATCACAAAATGCAAACATTTTCCACACCAAATGCCGGGATACACTGCAAATCGCATCACAATGGCTGGGTGAGATCAGCAGTGAACTAAAGCGGCAAATGTCTACAGCTGACCTGCAGAACCTGGGTCTGCAGAGGGCTTCAGTTACCTTCAGAGGAGACGTGGAATCCACCCAGCGCCTGTTACATTTGTGCAGAGCTAAAGCTCTGTGACACTGCTAACTCCCTGGCACAGAGCATGAGAGGGCTGGGAGGGTCAGCAGAGACGAGCTGTCCAAACTGATCCAACTTACAGATCAGAGGGCAGAGGCCCAGAGACAGGACATGCGCTAGGATACAAAGCAAACCCAAGCCAGAGCTCCTGACTCACTACCAGCGCTCCTCCCACACGGTTCCCAAAGCTTAATGCCCTTCACCCTCTGTCCGGGGCCGAGAAGCAACACAAAGCTTCAACCAGAGGGCGCAAACTCTCAGCCCTTGAGCCCACGAGGCCAGCAGACACCTTTCACTAGGGAAGCAAAGGTCTGTTCACAGGGCATCTGTTTGCTTTTGCTATTTTTAACTTAGAATTTGTTGCCCAATTTTCAAATCAGGAGATTTCACCTAGAAATCAACGTGGCAGGTTTCCACAGAAAAAGCAGAAGATCCGGCCACTTTGGGACACAGGTCTGCAGTGCAAAGGACAGGAGGGGCCCAAAAACCGTGGCAGAAGCGCAGACTCCAGGGAACCCAGGCTCCCAACCCTGGCCCTGGCTGCCCTCACAATGTGTCCACATTGTTTTTCCAATCACTAAGGGCCAAGATGAAAGTCAGGTAAGTCCAAGTCTGTGGTTCACACTCAGAAACATGGGCCAAAGCGTATTTCTAACAATTCCATGTAAGCCATTTACCCCTTTTTTTTTTTTTTTTTTTTTTTGGTTTTTCTCCAGTACCGGGAACTGAACTCACGACCTTGCGCATGCCAGGCAGGCGCTTTTGCCGCTGAGCTAAATCCCCAGCTAAGTTTTGGTTTGGTTTTTTTTGTTTTGTTTTGTTTTTCGTTTTTCTTCCGGTACCGGGAATTGAACTCATGACTTTGCGCTTGCCAGGCAGGCACTTTGCCGCTGAGCTAAATCCCCAGCCCCCATGTAAGCCATTTACGCTTCCAGGTCTCAGTAACGTGTCGAGGATCATCAGGCTAGAGGTAAGTCACCCTGCACGCGAATATTCTGAAAAGAAAGACGCCCAAGCAACTCTTCCAACTGTCTTTCCTCTAAAGCAATGGCCTCCTTGCGCGGTCTGTGTTTACATGGACACCCCAGAAAGGAGACTGCAAAGGGATGGAGCTATGCAGAGCCCAGGACACAGGAGGTCTGTAGAGCCACTGCTGAGTTAGATCTGCCTTCACCAGGACCCAATCAAGTATACAGGCAAAACACAAACGCCCAGGTCTGATATGACTTCCAGATCCTGAGCCTGCACTACTTGTGGCTGCTGGCTGGATACAAGGTCAAGTACGACTGCACATGTGATAGAAAATGCTTAGGTGTTGGATCAAAAGGATATAAATTCAAATCCTGCCCATTTTCATTGTCTATTTAACTACAAACAAGTGACCTACCTCTCTGGGCCTCAGTTTCTTCATCTGCAAAATGGGACTGATAATAGTATCCGTCTCCCAGATGATCGATGCACTGTGCTTGGCACTGTGCAGTGTGTGTAAGAGCGCTCAGTAAAGGGAGATATTAAAATTCTTATCAACATTAACGAAGGAATTCATAGCTTTATGGAAAGACCCAAGAGTACAGGATATTTAAATGACCTGTCAAACTCCATCCGTGTCACTCAATGTCCTAACTAAATGGGCACCCCAGGGAAAAATAATGTGTTTGGAACAAGCCCAGATGACCCCCAACTATAGCTCTGTCCTCACTCAAAGATCTAAGAGACACTGGAAACCTCACCTCTGAATGGCGCTCTCTGCTGGAGTCCAGCTGTCCCTCGCTGCTTTGTAAATGCACGCCTGGCTTAATTCACTTAGTCAATATCTCAGAGCATCTACTATGTGCACAAGACCAGGGACACAGAGAAGGCAAATCCTTGTAAGATAAGCCCCTGCCCTTGAGGCACTAGAACGGGAGGGTTACCCCCCACCAGAGGGACCACTTAGGCTTCTGGGCAGGGTAGCAGGGAATAGACGGGCAGTCAGGGGAGACTTCCTGGAGCAGGTGAGGCCTGCGCTCAGCCTTAGGGAAGGCAGGGCAGGGCAGGCAGTGTGAAGCCAGGTGGCACAGGAGGAGGAGGGGAGGCGACAGTACAGAAGCGGGTACAGGTGCAGGTGCCAGGTTGGGGCTCCACACTAGACATGGGTGAAAACTTGGGGTGATACTAAGACACTGTCCTGCACTGAGAGGAAACAGAGGTAAATTTAGCATCCAATGCCTTGCAAACCTCCACCCTGAATTTTCAGGTTGCCTTTGCAAAAGAATCAACTCTACTGCGTTCAAAGAGCCCTCCCGAGTAATGAACTAGCTAGCAAGTCTGCAAAATTGTACCCTGGGTGGAAATACATCTTATTGGGAAAAACGGTTCAAGGTCAAAGCAGCTGCTAAGAGCAGCCAGGATTCAACCCTTATTTCAACCGGGTGACAACCTGCAAATAACACTGCCACCTGCAGACTGGGAGACGTACCTAGCTGTGCTTTGCAACTCTCTATTGTCTTGTCCAGATTCAGCTGGAACCTGCTGCGAATCTGCCGCTTGGGAGAGATGAGAGGAACCGGGGCCGACTGCTGCTGGACCGACTCGCTGAGCTCCTTCAAGTCCATCTCGGCTTTGCTGCGATCTGGAAGACACCATCACAGCCCGGTAAGACCAGGCACTCGGGAGGAATATACGGCGCTCACCGCCATGCTTCCTCCGGGCAAACTCTGCAGAGACACATGCCTTCAGGACTCAAGGAAGGAAAAGCACGGGCCATCTTCGGTCACGCACCCCAGGGTCACCTGCCCAACAACCTGGGAGACTTAAGGACACTGGCTGAGTAAACACCTGTGGCGGGCTGATGTCACCTACAGAACAACTGTCTGGGGCTTGGATTTTTTTCAATATTTAAAGTGGACAATCTCAGCCAGATGGTTCTGTTTTGTAGAACTTGGCATATTCGGACTCCTCCAGAGCCAAATGTTACAGTGATATGTTCAGTGTCAGCATCAGCACACACACCAACACCTGCCTGGCCAGGGCACGCTTTTAACTCCTTCGGAGATCTGGGCGCTTCTGCCCCAGAGCAGTGCAGAGCCCTCTGAGGACACCCTGAGGCGGGGGAGACTTGGGTGCCTGTTAATCACACAGACTTCATTTTTCTTCTTTAATCAGCCCAATTTGGGTTGGGTTTCAAACTAGAAAGGGAGGGAAAACGCAAGGGAGGCGGCCCTTCCACCTGGGCAGAGAGCAGCTACGGCGGGAGGCAAGGTGAGGAGCTCTGCCCTGGGTATGAACCTGTGACTCACAGCTTTTCTCAGGGAAGAGCCAGGTTCCTCAGGCCGGATCCCAGGCAAAGGCCTCTGCCCACGACTTGGCCCGAGGCCCCCTCCACGCTTCTGCCAAGGGCTCTGCACGGTCAGCAGGGGCAGATTCCAGACAGTCAGTGAGCGGGCTCACAAGTCTCAGTTCCTTTCCTGCCTCTGCTGCCTCCTCTAGTACCCCAAAACAACACAGCAGGGGGTGCTGCAAAGATCCAGAAGGCAGGCACTGCGAGATGCTGCTCTTCCTCCAAAACACATGTGCGGTCCCCCCACCATGAGATTCCAGAGGTGAGTATTCACAAGCAGCAAGGCCGTCCGTATACTCGAGACCAGCACCCAAGAAGTCCTATGTGTACAAATGTGTTCACGTGCACGTGTATGCATGCACACACTGTGTTCGTATGTGTGTGCACTGCACATGGATCAGGCGGCTTTCCAGAGAGGCTGTCAGAGAGAGGGCTGCAGCCTCCGAGAGGGGAAGAATATTCATGCACGTTTACTGGAGAAATTAGAATGCTATTTACCTACAATGACCCTGGTCTGCAAAACTTTGAGGCAGCCTATACAATTTATGGAGTAAGAGTGTTAAAACAGCTAGGGAAAGAACGGGGAGCAGGAACACATGGAAAGGAAGGACAAAAGACCAGGGTAAGAAGCAGCTGGAACATGTGAGGCTTACGGACTTAACAGCTATGCTGCAATCATTACAGCAAAGGGAACAGGGGATGACATATATCCTGAAATCCCACTTCCAAAAATTAAACTGAACTGCCGAAGAAAAACGCAGCATTCTCAGGCACAAGGTTGGAAAAGAAGCACCTCACGAAAACACTTTCAATGAAGTTACAGATTCCACAGTGACCCCAAAAATCTACAACAGCAGAGGTCAACAAACTTTATTTGTAAAGGCCACATCGGCCCCACTGTAAAGCTATCCATAACACATGAACAACTGAGGATCATGACTGTGTCTCAGTGAAACTTTATTTACAAACACAGATGGGACCAGATTTGGCTCAGAGCTTAGCCAAGCCCTGCATTAACCCACGACTGCGAACCCTGGCTGCACACTGAACCCGCCTCTGCAGCATTAGCAAATCCCGACGCCCTGAGAGATACGGCCTGATGGGCCCTGGGGAAGGCCCGGGTGTAAGCACTGAAAAAGGCAATGACAACTGGCAGCTCAGGTCAAGAACTCCTGCATCAGACCAATCTTGCACATGAGTCGGGAAAGTGTACCACTGCCTCAACCTCTGTGACTCTGGGTAATGGCACAGCCTCTCCTCAGGGCTCATAAAAATCTGACACACACACCTATATCCTTATCCTAGCAACCTAGCTTTGCACACGTGTCTCTGCACCTATGCGGATGCCTACTGCAAATGCAACCCCTCAGTTTTATTCTACAAAGCTAATGCTGGAGTGTTTATAACCAAGGAGAATGCAGAGAAAAAACAAACAACAAAAAGGTTGGGTGTGGTAACACACGCCTGTAATCCCAGCGCTTGGGAGGCTGAGGCAGGAGGGTCATTGTGAGTTTGAGACCAGCCTGGGCTACAGAGTGAACTCAAGGCCAGCCTGAACTGCATAGAGATACCCTGTCTCAAAAAGACAAAAAAAAAGAAGAATGAAAAAAAAAAAAAAAAAAGGGTAGAGCATCCACTTTAAAAAATAAAGTTTCGCCAACCAATAAGCTATTCCTTATAATTTTTCCTACGCGAATAAAACACTAAATAAATGAGTGGCACCTGGATTCACACCCTAGAAACAGATCTTCAGGATTGTAGCCCAACATAATTATCTTACTTCAAAAGTTCAGCTACATCTTGACTTTCTTCTCTGCAGGAAGAAAAAAACAGTTTCACTTTCTCATCTGCTCAAAGAAGCTTCTCAGGACCCTCCCCATCCCTGCCCTTCTACGTGAAGAATATTTTCAGAACCCACCCCTGTGCCAACATTTTGAACTTCTAGCTGATAGGAAGACAGCGCAGGCTATAAACAGAAACCAGGGAGTAAAAAAAAAGTACCCATTCTAGAGAAAGAAGTACAATCTTGCCGTTCTGCAGGAAGCACAAATCAGAACCATCACGGTGGAGGGCAATTTGGCACTCTCTCTCACAATGTCACCTGCACATGGCCCCTGACCCTCCCCACGACTTCTACGATGCATCCTGTGTTTTCACTCCCATGCGGCGGCAGGGTCTTTACTGCAGCCGTTAGCAGCAGCAAAGAAATGGAAAAACAATTCACAGTCAATAAATTAAGGTGTTCCAGTTTACCTTTAAATGGAATCAGGATGAACACAGCTGCTAAAGGACAACAGGGCAGATTTCTATGTATTGATATGAAAAGCCAACCTGGCCAATGAAAGCAGCACCTGGTGAGCGTGCTAGCACTGGTGTGGGGAGAGGAAGCAAATGCAACAGAAACAAGAACGCATGCGCTCCTCCGGGTCTCAGCATTGCCACTGTGGCTTCCGGGGGCCCAGATGAGCCCCTGTTGTGGGGTGGGGTCCAGGGACCACCCTGCATGTGGTAGGTGTTTAGCAGCATCCCTGGCCTTGACCCACCGTAGCACCGTAGCACCCGTATCCCAGTGGTGACAATAAAATCATCTGCAGACACTGCTAAATGTCACCTGGGTAACAAACTCAGGCTGAGGGAAAATCAATGGTCTCCATATCCGAAAAGCCCCAAGGAGACTAAAAGCGGGAACCATGGTCATGTGGGGAAGCGGGCGAACGGTGAACAGGTTACAGACCAGTGGGCTTTTCATTACACATCCTTGATGCTTTGAAATTCCTCTTATCGTGTGCATTCATGGCTGGCAAAAACAAAATCACTTTTTAAAAGGAAAACTATAATTACTTCTCAGTTGTCATGTTTTAACTGTTCGCAATGCTAGGGATCAAACCCAGAGCCTTACCCAAGCCGGGCAAGCACTCTACCATTGAGAACGCCCCAGCACGTAAGCACCTGCTTTTCAGCTTAAAAAAAAAAAAGAGACAGAGAGAATCGCCTTTATTCTAAAGCTGTCAGCAAACTACAAGCATGGACAACATGGCAGCTCCCTTCACCATAACAGCAGCAGGAACGGAAGCCTGGGCAGATCTATCCATCCACCACAGCTTAGCAGAGAATCTTTCCACCTCACTCACTGTAAAGGAAGTCAAGACGACAACATCTGGGTGATCTAAGCCAGCTCCGCGCCTCTCTCTCCAGGAATCCCTGATAAGCTCTATGCTTAGGAAGAGAAAGGCAGCCAGCCAGGTGCCTGGGAAATACGCTGAAATGCTTCGAGACAGAGAGCTCTGTCAGCATCTTCAGCAGAGCATCCGGTCATTACCAGGAGCACCAAACTTCTGGGCATGTTCACCCTCTGCAAGGTAAGAATAAGCAGCCTGGTGTGGTGGTGCACACCTGTAGCCCCAGCACTCAGGAGGATCACCATGAGGTTTAATGCCAGCCTGGGCTACTTAGCAAGACCCTATCTCAAGACACCAAAAGTAAATAAATAGGCAGAAGGGAAGGCACTGCATTCAATCCCCACAACTGTATTTAAAAAAAATAAAAAGGAATTTAGCTGGAGTCAGGCATTCTTCTCACCCAGTCTTTTGTTTCTTTGCTTTTTTTTTTTTTTTTACAGGGTCTTGCTATGCAGTTCAGGCTGGCCTTGAACTCGCAACGATCCTCCTGCCTCAGCCTCCCGAGTGCTGGGATTACAGGAGTGCACCACCACGCCCGGCTTCACCCAGTCTTAGGAACGCATTCAGATTTATGATCTATGACCACCATTAAATCACAGAAGGGGCCTCATAAGGAGCCAGCAGGGCTCAGGTTTCTTGTTTGAAAGAGAACAGAAAAGGCTCAAGATAGCAAAGCAGCAGGGTGAGAGCCAGGTGTCCACACCATACCCACGTACACCATATGCTCACATCACACAGTTCATTACCGTACTGTCCTGAAGAAGCCAGCTGACAAACTCTGGGCTGGTTTTTGAATTCTGGGTTGTATTTCTTTAGCCTATGTACACTTTTGTTGTTTTTAATGCAACTGATTATTTCTGGAGCTGTACTGCAAGGTTTTTTTTCTTTTTTAACTGGGAATTGAACTCAGGACCTCGTGCTTGCCAGGCAGGTGCCATGCTGCTGAGCTATATTTGTAATTTAATGTTACTGATAGCAACTTTAAAAAAAAAAAATCCAGAAGTGTTTGCATAAATACCTGGATTTCTGCTTCTCTTTAGAAATTCCAAACAGCCTGACAACGTGCCAGGGCTACTTCCTTTAAGGTGCCCTTTGCCCTGTGTGTTATCGTCACCCAGAGCGAATCCTGACCCACTGGCTGGGCACAGAAGATACCATGTGGAGGCCGAGCATGCCCCGCCTTGTCACACTGTAGCCGGGCACCTCAGCCAAGAGCTCCAATTCTGCAGCAGACAGGCCTGAGCCAAGGCCAAACTCAACCACAAACTATGTGATCCTCTGCATCTTATTGCCTCAACTGCTGCTTCCATAAAATGGGACTACTACCTACCTGATAGGTTGTTGGGGGGTAGTTTTAATTTTCAGAGACTAAAACTGACATTTGGGAACCCCAGTTCTGCACGTTTAAACATAGACATTGATTCACATGGCCTATTACCCCACACAGAACACAGGGCAATCCCTTTTCCCAAAGAATTCCCTCCAAATCTGCAATCAAACCCTCTTCCACTTCAATCAAGACAATCACACCTGTGTTTCCCATCTCCATAACTTTGCCTTTGCCAGTGTATTTTTTAACTGAAATCCTGTTTGTGTTAGATAATACTTTCAAAAACAATTAATTAATTAAAAAAATAATAAATTCACCATCATCCCTAGCACTCCGTCATTTCTGTCTGGTCAAAGTCATCACACAGAACAGATATAACCAAGCCCCATAAGGCACTGGCTCAGTCCCGAGCCGTCACGGGAGAATTGCTCCGCATCTCCCACTTCCCAACTGCTCTGCCCGCCCACGTACTGCATCCTCTTTCTGTTAGGAATTGAAATCCCAGCCCACAAAACCACCTCCACTCCCAACGCTTTCACTCCGCTGACGAAGGTAAGCAGTGTGCCCTGGAGACTGTGACAATAACCAGGGAGACAGGGCAGCAGGCATCAGAGTCCCTCAGCTGCCCACCGCCACTGCCTACAATGACACAAGACAGTGAGAAGCACGCGCTCCCACGGCGCCACGCCCGACCGAGAGACCCACAGTGTCACGAGGCGGCCCACTGGCCACCCAGCGGAGGGAAGGAGCTATTCTCGCCAGGCATGACTGGCGGGGAGGAAATGTCACCGTGAGAACGCCTCCACTCCCTCTCTTCAGGGTGTAGAAGTGGGAGGAGGCCGTGGGAAAGAAAACCACATTTTCGGGAACAATGACTGTTCAAGGCAGCAAATGGGTCCCTTTTCGTTCAAGCAAGGAACCCCTGTGAATCACTCTCAATTTTAACTCCAAGCTACTACCCCGACTGGCCTAGTTCCTCTGGGCCGCAGCAACAGGGGGCCTGGGGGAAAGGAGGTTCCGGCTCCACGGGGGAGGGCTGAGCTCCAGCCCGGCCACCTTGGAGTCCTGGGCACCCTGAGCCTCCTCGGGGCACCCCATTCCTGCCTCCAAACACCCTCTACGCCCTCCTCCTATGGCGGCCGGGGTCCACCCCGCACTTTGGCTGTAAGAACCATAATGTCTTGAGACACTGCTGGGGTGCGGTGGGACAAAACTGCCCCAGATGAGGACACCTGACAGTCTGTCCCGAACAACGACCCGCCGTGCTCCCATGGAAATGTGCGGATTGCTCGCACTCTTCCATTTCACCCCGGTCTGCAGGGCCCGCCGCTCTCTGACTTCATCTACTTGCCCGCTGCCCCTGGCTCACCCAGATGCAGCCACCGAGACACCTTGCTATTCTTTTGCACAGCGTCAGTGCTTCCACTAAGACCTTCCAAATCTCTTCTTCCCAGGATGCTCTGCTCCTGATATTAGCATGGCTGGTTCCTCTCATCCTATAATCGCAGCTCAAGTATCACCTCCTCCAAGAGGCCTCCCCCAATCCCTCCACCTAAGTAAACCAACAACTCTGTCCTCCACTTGCCCCTCTCCCATCCCACCCACACATTCTGCCTTCAAGGCATCCAGCAGGATGTAAACTGTGTCACTTATTACTGTCCCTCTCCCTCCAGCTCCACAAGGGCAGTCCTTAGCTGACCACCTCCCATGTCTAGAATACTACACAGCACCTAACAATGTTCACTAAACACTGAGTTGATAAATGGAATGATCCAATAAAACAACAACTTCACACATGGCCTTTAGCATTTCTAGTGCCGATTTCTGCTAACTCTTTAGCCTAACATAGTTTTTTATTAAACAGCCAATACAAAAACAATAGGTTAAACCAGGTGTGGTGGCACATGCCTGTAATCCCATGGAGGCTGAGGCAGGAGGGTCCCTGCAAGTTTGAAGTCAGCCTGGGCTACTGGGCATGGTGGCGGCAGCGCATGCCTGTAATCCAGAGGATGAAAATCGGCATTTAAAACATTAGAAAAGAACGAAGGAAACAGTGTTAGAGCACACTGCGCAGAGGACAGGTACAACTGACTCACTTCTGCCTGGCCTGTGCGTTTAGGTATCAGAGAACCGGGTGAGGAGAGTCAAAGGCAAACAGGCTTGTGAACACTGGCCTAAGGCACTTTGTGACAAAACAACCGCATGACCGAAAACCCCCGGCAACCCCTAACTCAATGCTTCCTCCTGCTGTCCCCTCACCCCGCACTTCAGCCGCTGTACCTTTTGAAGTTTCTGGCCAGAGAGGAGAGTTCAGGAGTTCAGGGTTCAAGAATCAAGACAGAAAAGCAAGACATCACAATTTGCAAAGACGGTCACAGCTGCCAGAAAAAGATACCTCCAAAAATGCCAACTGACCCAGGTTAAGATTCAGGATGCTTCCGGTGGTAGACATTTTGTCCGTCTTCGTCATGATTGGTGCGGATGCTTGCGGAGAGAAAGGTTTCGGGCTGCCGGACAGGCTCCCTGCTTGTCCCGTCTTTGTGGAAGCTGGCGAAGCTGAAAAAGGGCGTCACGGTTAGAGTCAGATTCGTAAAAAGCAAGCGAAGCTTCGGGTGGGGTAAGGGGAGAGTGGAGACCACGGGCGGTATATTCCGTGGCTTCTGGCTGGGGCAGGGAGGACAGGGCTGCCTCCTGGTTTCCTCAAAGGGCTTTCACCCCACATTAAACTGGGAAAGCCGTGAGGGAGACGGCCCCCCAGTTACTGGACTCTACTAAACACAAAGCTCGAAGACAAACTGGCTAAGCTGTCACTCAAACTGGCTTGGCCCGTTCATGGGTGTTCATGGGTGTAAATCTCCAAATAAACAGTGACTGGGCAAGCGGCATGGGGGCCCAGGCTCGCCAATGGCTGTCCCATCCGTGGGCAGACACAGGGACGACCCAACCCCTGGGGGAGCCCCAGCTCCAGCCCAACGTACGCAGGCTGTGCCTGGCCAAACTCTGAGGGCACCAAGCGCTTATTTTAAAAAACAACTGTTTAGAGGCCCAGGCAGAACCACCTTCAGATCCCAAGCCCACTGCAGCTCAGGGCAGAGCACTTGGTGCGCCTGCCAGCCCCTGCTCGGATCCCCAGCACTGTGAAAGAAATGACAGGAGTCAGGTCCTGCCCCGGCTTCTGCCCCTCCGCGTTATTGGGACGATGCTGTCCCCACTCCAACCTGAGCCCTTTTAAAGCCGTCTGAGACTAACAGCATGGCAGACACCAAGAACGCCAACTCTGCTCACGTGAATGATCCGTTCGGAGGTGACCTGGCCCTGACAGGGGGCAGCGGATGGCAAAGCAGGTGTAGGACTTAAGGCCCCTCTGGGACATTGAAGCACCCATACACTCAGGTGGGCGTCCGCCTCGTTTTCCTCACCTGCCAAATGGGCTGTACAGCACAGGATTCAGTAGATTAAACCCGGACCCTGGCTGTTCTCCGTGCAGCCGCCAGAACCATCCCTTAAACCAGAAATGAGAGCCCAGCATCTCTAAAGCCAGCCAGAGGTGTCCTGTTCCTCACAGTGAAAGCCAGATTCCTCTCCATCTCATATCCAACCTCTCCTTGCCTGGCTGTGCAATCTCCAGCCACGCCAGCCTCCCTGCCGCACCTGGACACCTAGCCCGGTCTCCCCTCAAGCTCTCCTGGGAGGCCCCCACTCCCATCACACGCCGGCCACCAGCCCTCCCTTTCAGGTTCCAGCTCGAACATGACCTCGTTGGCCCACCTAACACAACCAAGACTACTTCTGTTTATCACCTCCCTTAGCCAAGAGAATGTCAGCCCCAGAGGAGCTGGATCCTTGGGACTGGGCACATCCAGGTCCCTGCCTGACACACACCAGGTGTCTGAGATGTTTCCTGAATTTGCAGGAAATGATTTATTGAAGCGTGCAGTCTCCATTTCTCTTTGCATTACTGTGGTCATCATAAGCAATAAAGAAATGGTAACAACCAATCAATCTAAACAATCGCAATATTATGCAGCGACTAAAAATAAGGTGAACTGAGAGGTAATTAGCAATCCAAAGGTCTGAATAATCAACTCACAGAAAATATGGTCTTTAAACATAGAGATCATTGAGAGCAATAAAAAATAAATGCAAATGATCCAAGTTACAGAAATCCAACCTTCCCCCTGACATTCTTTTCATATGCTCGTAAACTTGTTTCAAAAAATAACACCTCACCAGGTGTGGTGGCACATGCCTGTTAATTTCAGGACTCAGGTGATAGAGATCACTATGAAGCAACTCTGAGCAAGATTTAATGCTAACCAATTGGCTTTTCACGTTTACTTGTGAGTTGTCCAAGGTCTAGGCCCATTGTCTGGAGACAAGCAGCGGACTCATAGTAAGTGAACCTCTGGTCCCCAATGAGGCCTGTATTAGCCTCTGAAGTAAGGATGCCTCAAAGGACAAGATAAGGCCACAGCTGAGGACCTCTGGCTCCAACCCCAATTAACTAAAAGGAGACTGCAGCTGCAGGCTCCACACTCCCACAAGAAATGCCAGCCTAAAGATAAGGTAGCTCTTTAATTGACATAATTTACTACTTGAGAAATATTTACCAACATTCTACTAAGATTTCCACTTTTTTTTACATAGCCCCCTCCTTTGTTTGAAAACCAAACACAAACATGGGCTGCTCAGAGAAGTTCTTTGTCTTGGCGCCCAGGGAATCTCGAAATTCTGTTAGAGGGTTTTGAATCTCCTGGAGCCCTGAACTCATACCACTTGTCTCTTATTTAAGTCTTGTCATCCACTCTTGGGAAATTGCGGGCCTGATCAGTCCACAGTAACTAGGGGATAGTATTATCCCGGTACTAAGGAGCCTGAGGCAGGAGGCTCACTGTGAGTTTGAGGACAGCCTGGTCTACACAGTAAGTTCATGTTTAGCTTGAACTATGTAGCAAGACCCTGTCTCAAATAACCAATAACACAAAACGAACACCTAGCTGGGTATAGTGGTACCCGTGCTGGGATGCTGAGATAGGAAGATGAGACAGGAAGATTCCAAGTACAAGACTGGCCTGGACTACCAAAACAAGCTCAAGGTTGACCCGGAGTACATACTCAGACCCTGTCTCAAGTACAAAAACAACAAAAACCCTCACCTAGTATTGAATAGAGGTGAGGAAAGGAAAACCAGGAGAACTAAGGTGACAAAATTAAAGCGTATAAAACACAGAGCCCAGAGTCCCCGGCTGCAGTCGGCTGCCCGTCAGACAGAATACCACACATGGAAGCTGTGCTGCGGGTCTATTACAGCGAAAGCGATAGAGGGCTGGCTTCCACTGTCATTAATCAGAGACCAGTTAAGTCAATTATAGATAAATACCGTACCCTCCTGAAAAAGAACGAAGGAGGTGTGTATGATCCGGCAGGAAATTGACAAAGACAAAGGTACAGTGAAAGATGTATAGAACACCCCCATGTATTAGTTTTTCAGGGCATGTACAGCACCTTCCAGTGACAGTACGTAGTACCCACAATGTGCATTCCATAAAAGGTGAACAGTGCTAAGCTTTAGAGAAAAACTGTCTATACTGCAAAAGCAAAAAGGCTTGTCATCTTTTCTTTCTTTTTCTTTGAGACAAGGTCTTACTATGCAGATCAGACTGGCCTTCAACTCACTTTGTAACCTAGACTGGCCTCAACCCCAAAGCAATCCTCCTGCCTCAGCCTCCCAAGTATTGAGATTCAGGCTTGCATCACCATGCCCAGCCTATTTTACACCCTTCTATTCTACTTTAATATTGCTAAGTATTTTCGTTGTTGCTGTTTTCGTTTTAACTGCAGGTATGTATATGTGTATCACCCCTGTCTAAAACAAGAGTGTCAAAGAGAAGCATTTAGATTACAGACAATTTTGCCCAGTTTAAAACATTTTAATGTGCTTCTGTTAGGGGGAAAAAAATCTTTGAAATGTGTAAAAATATATTTAACATGAAAAAATGTCAATGGGGAGAGAGAGGAATTCTGTAGTCATAAATACCCAGGGAGGTGAAATGGGTATGTTCTTGGGAACTTTTCCTTCAGCTTCTGGTGTGGCCACTGACAGGAATTCGTGTACTATGCGACAGCCCAAAAGGCAAACAGTATTGGGAGTGACAACATCAGAAGGACAGGGCACACTGGAAATATACATGGCCACGAACAGAAAGAAACAAGGTTAGGATGACAGCTCAGTGCCATCCGATCCCATCATATATATACTTTAGAAATTATTAGCAACATTTAAAGTCCAACAGTATACCCAAAATGTCACTTCTTTGAGTGGAATCAGCTGCTCTTCATCTTGTACAAGTAATATAGAATTGTATACTTGTATTTGCAGGGAAGTGCTACCTGTAAATCCCCTACCACTGAGCTATACCCCTAGCCCTCTGAAAGAAATATTTTACACTCAGGAAAAATGATGCAAAATCCAACATAAAATAATGGAGCACTTCAAAGGTGAAGCTAAAGTGGGTGGGTGAAGCTAAAGTGTGTGTGGTGACGCACGCCTGTAATCCCAGCACTCAGGAGGCTGAGGCAGGAGGATCCTTGTGAGTTCGAGACTAGCCTGGGCTACAAAGTGAGCTCAAGGCCAGCCTGAACTGCATAGCAAGATCCCGCCTCCAAAAGACCAAAAAAAAAAAAAAAAAAAAAAAAGAAAAAAGATGAAAGCATGAGGAATGCCACCATTTCAAGGCCAGGCCTTGCTAGTTAGTGGATTCAAAGCCCACTATGTAGCAAGACCCCTGTCTCAAAAAAAAAGAAGAAGACAAAACTAAAGCTGTGATGGTATACACCTTAAGCCCAGCACTTTGCAAGGATGAGGCAGGAGGATTTCCAATCTAGCCTGAGCAACTTAGTGAGACCCTGTCTCAAAAGAGGGTAGGGGGGAAACCTAGGGATACAACTCAGTTGAAGCCCTAGACTCAACCTCTAGTAAGGCTGAACAAAAAAAGGCCATCAGAATTTTATCGCCAGTGCTCAAGTTCATCAGAAGCACGACGATACACAAAATCTATCACTCATGTTACAGTCGGTAACTCTATGCCCCAGGGGACAACTGGGAAAGTCTGGAGGCTCGGGAGGGGCAGCGCTAGGACACAGCCTAGTACCTGTGTACTCAACTACACCCCCAGACCACTTCTGTCTCTCCTTCTCTCCGTCACAACTGCATGTGACGGGGTTGCTCCTGGCATCCGAGGCAAGAGAGGCAGAGCTTCTGCTAAGCCTCCTGCAGAACACAGGGCAGCCCCTAGAGAGAACTCCCCAGCCTAAATGTCAGCCACTCAGGGTTGAAAAACATTGCGGTAAATCACGCTAGGCATCTGCAAAAGTAGAAAGACATTTGGAAATGTTCATTTCAATTAAACTTTGAAACAGATGCCATGCCTTTTATAAAGCCATAAATCTTGCCCAAAGGAAGAACTAATTGCCTTTGAAGTCACAAATAATTTCAGCGGATTTTACACTGTGATGTACAATTTGCCGAGTGTGGGCTAAAAAACACATTATTTCTT